ACTCAGGGTGAGCAGTTCCCTCTGGGGAGCTCTTTCTACTGCCCTGCAGACAGGCACGTGCCCCAGGACAGGTGGAAGTGCCCAAATTCCTGCTTTTATTGACCTTGAGACTGAGCAAATGCACTCAGGGAGAAACCTTTGCAAACCCTTTTTTTTTGTCTTCCCCTTCTCTCTCACCATTCTTGGTGGGACATGAGGTGGCCTGAAGGCCCTGTCCCTGCCTTGGCTGTCCCCAAGGAGCACTGGCAGCCCCACAACACACCAAGGCTCCTTTGCCACTGCTCTTTAATGGGGCTCCAGTGATGCTCAGAGCACAAACAGGGAAAATGAAGTGCTGATTTAGGCTGAAAAGCCAGTGCTAGCTAATATAGGAAATTACTCCAGCAATCATCACTCTTTTCCTGTCACTATGGTGACAAAAGAAATGACAAAAGCCTGAGCAGAAAGATATGGTGACACAAGTAGTGAGGGACAGAGCAAATGCTTGGCAGCTGCAGCCAGGTCAAGGCAGGTCCAGGAGGGGACAGACAGTGCAGGAAACCTGTGCTGGAGCCATTGTTACTGCTGGATGCAGTTGTGTCCCACACAGGGGTTTGCAATGTGACACAAGGACTAAACTCCTGTTGCACCAAGTGTCACAGCCAATGCAGCTACCACAGACCTAAAAAATAGAGTGATCTCAGTCATACAAGGCTTTCATGCCACAGCTTGAATCCTAATGCACTAACCATTGATTTTTGCACCACCTTCCTCTGCAGGACTTGTTTGCCCCCTGCCCTAAGGGGGTCTGCAGCCTCCTCCCCACAGTGGCAGCAGCTGAGCATCCTTAGAGGACACAGAGGAACTCTGCTCTTCCCAGCCAAAGCAAGGTTCACCTGGGACTTGGAAACAGGTGTCGACAATGAATGGGAAAGCACAGGGGGGCATGCCTGGAGGCAGCCCAGGACTGTGAGGAGCAGCTGAAGGCACTCTGGCTGCTCTGCCCTCTGGCTCTGCAGCACTGCTGGTCAGGTCTCCCTGAGGCCCTTCCAGCATCCCCCATCTCACCATGCACAGAGACAAGGCACCAGCTCCCAGATGCCCAAGCAGCAGGTTGCTGTGCTGCTCAAGGAGAGAAATCTATCTCAAGAATATCTTCTCAAGAAACTCCAAAGAAGAAACTGGGCCATTGCAACAAAATGTGCAGGTCCAAGGACAACTTGCTCAGGAGTCTCTGGTGGAGAAGGTGCCAGTGTCCATCCTGCAGTGACAGTCCAAGCCCTGGGGGCCAGGAGGAGTCGCCAGCAGATCAAACAACATCCAATGTCTTTGCCACTTTAAGCTGAATTTTTATTTTCTTGGAGTCAAAGGAGCTAAAAAGGTGAGGTGCAATGGGGGAGCAGAAGAGGGTTCTGGAGAGAGAAGTGGGGAAAATCTTCACCCTGAAACACACCCTCTGTCCCACCTCATCTTTTTTCTTTCTTTTTTTTTCAGGAGGAAACACAATATTTTCCAGCCAGCTCTACTCATGAGTGATTGTGCAGAGCTGTGCTAATGGGCTCTGCCAAGCTGTGGTCACCCTACGGAGCTATTGGCAGGAGAGGTGGCAAGTTGGAAAGGACTACAAGGGAACTCTGCATGATATTTTTTGATGAGCTGATTATTCAGAAATTTCACAAGAGCTGAAATATATCACTCTGTTCTGAAACTCACAGCCCTGCCAACACACAGGACAGCTTACATGAGCAGCAGCATTTTCTCCTTCACAGAGCTGCTGGCCTGCACGTCAGGATGCGGGAATTGGACAAGGCTTTTCAGCAGCCATCGACCACAGTGACAGTGAGAGGTGGGGAGTGGATGGGAGGACACAGAAAGCTGGCACAGAAATTATTTTGGTACTTTCATGGCTGTCACTATGTGTGTATTTGGACTTGAGAGTTTTTCATGAGCTCTGTGGGTACTGGGGCATTTAGAATTTTATTGCATTATGGCTGGGTATGAGATCACCCCAGATTCCACATGGATTCAGGTATTTTTATTTCAGGAGTGCTCAGTCCTGGCCACATTTCAGGGTACTGTCACATGCCCAGGAGCTGACCTTGACTCCCCCACTGCAGCCAGGACCTGCTGTCTTGGCATCAGCCTGTCTGCAGCCCAGTCAGGCTCCCACAGAGACTGGCAGAACATTTTCCCTTCTCTCCAACATTACCTAAAAACAAAACACTGGCTTATTTGAGCACAGAATCAAAAGAGAGCCTGATACTTGGGGGTGGGTGAATGTGTGCTGGGGGAGCTTAGAAGCAGCATAGGTTTCTGAATTAACCCACAAAGTCTTCAAGGAGCTGACACAGCTCATCCCCAGCCCATTCTTCTGTCAGCACACACCCGTTTTGAGCTGCCTGGGGCAGCATCAGCTGTCCCGTGGAGAACCTGGAGCTGGTACATCTGCATCTGGAGCAAGAACAATGCTGAACTGCTGAAAGACAAATAACAAACATCCCCATGCTGCACTCACAGCCTTTGCTGAAAGCACCTGAGCTGCCTGGCATGGCAGTGGATGTGTGGGCTGATGTGTCCCATCAGATCGAGCTCCCAATAACCTGTCTGCTCTCCTGTCCGTGCCCTGAGTCACCTCCTGTGCAATTTCTGTTCCAGGGCAGTCAGGGGACATGTGGAGCTCCCAGGCTGTTCCCACAAGTCAGTGAGGAGAGCTGTGGCTGAACCATATCTGGTTTACTCATGGAACAAGAGGCACACAGGCACAGCCCGTGCAGTCCTTCAGAGGAGCTGCTGCTTCAGGAAAAACTCTTAGGAATTGAAAAAGTCTGGGAGATTTCCTTCTGGGTAAGGACAAGGAATGAGGGTCTGAGCTCTGTCCTGTTATGAAGCCACCCCATTGGGACCACTCCTCTTGTGCCACGTCCATCTGAGCCCCTGCACTGGGGATTTTTCCCATGTTTCCTGCTTTGGGTGAGGGAGCTCAGCACTGCAGCATTCCCCAGCCCACAGGCAAGCCCCAGGCATGACCCCACGAGGGTGAGAGATGAAGGCTGGATGAAAAGGACAAGGATGGTTACAAAGTTCATCAGTGTCTTCAGCACAGCATCTCCTCGCATTTCCTGCAACAGCACCTCTGCATACAGCTCCTTGCCCATGGAAAATAAAGTCTGTAAGAAGTATATAAATGATCCAGACAGCACCTTCAAGGTCCACATCTTAAAAAAACTGCAAGGGTTTACTCCACATACTGCTGCAGGATGTCATGTACCTCATGATCTGCCTTTTCTAATCTCTCCTTATCTCTCACTCCAATCCTTTCTCATGTCCCTCATCTATTGCAAATTCCCTTTTTAAGCTGGAGCGAAGCACATAAATATTTTCATGCTGCATAAATAGGTTGTTTTGTGCATAATGTCACAGGAGGCCTTTTTTAAAACCAGGACCTTTAGTGCTGTGATAACGGCCTCCTCATTTACACAAATGAAATCTTCCATGGAGCTCAGCACTCATCTGCTCTGCAGCCCCCATGCAAAATGCCTGGCAAAGAGCCTGCTCATCACAGGCTACAGAATTAATACAGAATATTCCATAATAAATAGGAAGCCATTGAGCAGCAGGTTGAAAATGCCTTGCAAATGTAACTGATGCTGAGGTTTTTCTTTAGTGTTGCCCAGCAGCACAACCATTGTCTTCCTTCTATGTGAAATCACAGCAACTTGAAATGCTAAAGTGCAAAAGGACAACCATTTATGTTGGCCCATTTGCCAGAATCTTTGACCATTCTGTCTGCTCACTTTACCTTCTCTGTTGCTTCTTGCTCCCTGACCTTCATTTCCTGTTTATTCAGCCCTTGCTCAGGGTCTAAAAAGTGCAGACACCATCAAAATGGACTTTTCATTTACTCTGCACAGAAAAAGAAATAGTGTTACAATCTGTACAGTTTTTAAAAGGGCTAATGGAAGATACTGGGGGCCACACTGGGTCATGGTATGTCTTTGAATCAAAGTGGTTTTCAGGAGCAATATTTAAATAGCACAACAGTAAAAACTGGAATCAAACATCAGTGATTTTGCTCTAGTATTTCTATTTATATTTGACAAGCTTAAAGACTTCAAGCCATTGGACTGAATGGCTCTGCAGTACAGACCAGAGAGAGACTTGGTGAAAATGATGAGAACTCATCCATTGTGCATTGTCATACTTCTCAGGTCAGGCTGTAACCCTCCAGGACAGACTATCATGGAGCAGCTGAATTTGCTCTGAACATGATCACACTGCTGCCAGGCAGGAAAAGCTCTACCAGGCTCTGCTCTGGACCTGACTCCTCAAGCCCTCAGGCAGGCTCTGCACCCTGTGGCCTCCCTCAGCATGACTCTTATTGAAAGACTTGGGGGCATTTTGTTTTTCATCCTGACTTTGGCGGACACAGAAAGCTTTGGTTGTTTGCTTCCCTGCAATTCCAGAGGAGGATTATGGGTGCTCTTTTCACACAGATCTTACAGACTCATTTCTTCTCTCATCCATCTGTTGTTTGACTTCTTTTCCTGTATTATGTGTTAGCAATCAACAACTAACCTGTGGTGGGTTTCTTCCTGTGCAGGGTTCTGAACACAGAATTTCTTGCCCTGAGATTGTTCCACGTGGGAGGCTCCCACTCGTTGTTTGTGGCTGTGAGCAGCCATTCATGCCAGCCTAACTCTAATGTGATTACTATTCCATGAGCAACTTCCCATATGAATTGCTTTACAGAAGTGTTTTGTGTCACTTAAAACTCCAGAAGCCTTTTCATAATGCATTAAAAGAACAGAAAAAAGAAAGATTTCAGGAAGCTTAATATTTCTTGTTATAGAACTCACCTGCAGAAAGAACAGCTTTCCAAGTTTATCTTGGCTAGTCTGTAACAAAGTCTTGGTTTGTATGAATTGCCACACTGCTAAAAGATCTAATTTTTCTATGATAAAATAGCCTACATACAGTAACTGAATCAAGGAGCACACAAGGAGTAAACACTTTATAACGTACCTAAATGCGGTAGCTACTTGATTTTCCTGGCACTTTATTTCTATTTAGGCCAAGGGACAATTTAAAAAGATTCATTCCCAAGTACACAATTCAGAAAAATATGAGTTACAATTCAGAGCAATATTTTGAACCAGTGCTGTTTAGTTGTCTTAGCTGGAATTCAACCTTGATGATATCCAAAGGTCCAATAAAATTTTTCATGGAAGAATCCCATACTTGTAGAACATAATAAAATTGTTGAGCTGCAGTTCCAGGGCTACTGAGAACTGGAGAATGAGGTTGTTCTTTCTGGGGACTTTCTGATGTCTTGGGATGTGTTCCAAACACTTTGTTACCTGAGAAGTATCAAACATAACAGATCATTACATATAATAGCAGCTTTGATCTTTGTTAGTAAGACAAAATGTGAGGCTGTTTATTACTAACGACTTAGGTGCTCATTAGTGTGTTCTGACAGGAGCCCCTGACAGCAGTAGGCAAAAGGAAATGTTCAGTGTTAAACCCCCACACAGCACATTGCAGCTCCTATGCCACAGAGGAAGGAGAAAAGCCTTGCACACAACTATTTTAAAATTACTTACCAGAGCTGGAAAGAGATTTGTCTGATTTCTTATCTGCTTTTTCAATAAACTGCACTTGCAAATAATAGCAATGCCTGCCTTTCACATCATGCTTTTCATTCCTAACTCACAAAGCACCCTTGGACAGAGGTCAGGATCATTTTACAAAAAACAAACATGAAGTGAGGCCACCTCTCTGATGTCCCTGAGTAAGACAGCACAGTCCCCAGCTCTGTTGACCGCTCCTCATGGGAACAAAGGCTTAGAAAGGGCATCTTGTGTCATCAAATCCAGCTTCTTACTCTTCAAATCTATTTTGCTATAATAACCTCATGCAAGACTCTTTGGGGCTCATGATCTCTTATATAAGCTCCTACAAATAATCTTTCAAGACTATCATCTCTTGTTTATCCTCAGCCATCCTGACCATGTGGTGGGACTCTGCCTAATGCCAAGGAATTACACACCAGTGATTTGGAACCATCACCCAGAAAATGCCCCCATGCTGAAGAATGAATGGGGCAATTCTTGCCATGTCTGCTCCAATTTTATGCATCTCTTGGTGGTCCATTCTAGTAAAAGACCTGTAATAGGTGACATGACAGATGTGGAAGGTGTTCCTGAAGCAGAGCAATAGAAATGTTGGGAGCCTGAAGCTGTGGAAGCTGTGTGTGAAATCCCTGCACAAACTCATGGCACAGGTGCTACTGCAGTGGTAGCTGGAGGCTTGCAGCAGCCCCAGGTGGTGACACAAATGGGGCATTTGAGTTTATTCCTGCAATACCTCTGCTTTTGTGTAGAGACTGACATCCTGGCACACAACAGAGCCTCAAGTACGCTCAGTCCAACATATTTCCAACATCCATCACCCCCTTCCTTTCTCAAATAACTACTTCCTGCAGGAGTTATTAATGCCTTTCCACCTACACAGCCTAGACACCGACACTCACACAAAGGCAGTGTTGAAGCTCTGAGGTCATGTTCGAGTAGCTGGTTCCAAAGTCTCTCTGGGCAGTTCTATTATGCAGCAGCTACAGCAACAGGATACCACGATACAAACCTTTGCTAATAATTGAGCATGAAATAGGCTTTTTGGCTTGGTATCTTCAGTTTTGTACCTTCGCTTCAGAACGTGTTTAGAGCTGGCTTCAATACTGGGAAAATTATCTCAGCTTATTAAACACAAAGCTGTTACCCAAGTGTTAGATGAGGGCACGGCCCCCGAACTCGCTCCCCGGGGCTGCGCGCGAGGCTCGGATCTTGCTGCTGTTGTGGCTGCAATTCCCCAGCCACCCACTTCTTTGTTTGATTGTCTCTCTCACTGAAACATATGTTTCCCATTCCCACGGCATTTTGAGCAACAGTTTCCATTGTAAGCCCCTCCTGACTGACAGTTCGATGGCAGCCTGTGAATCACTTGGCACGTATTTTGAGAATCTGCTTCGAGGAGGGTCTGGCTGCTGGTGAAGAGCATCCTCTGGCAGCTTTGGGGGCAAGAGAGGAGCACCATTTTAGCACAGGTTTGGGTGTAAGAATACCCAGCCACAGCTGATATCATCATTATTTGAAGCTCAGCATTGTCCTGTACCTCAGTTCTTTTACCTCAGGTCCTCAGACAAATGTTCACCACTTATGCTCAGCTTTCCCCATTTTCCTCTCAGACAATGTGACACACAAAGCCAAAGATGAATCAAGAACAGATCCCACTGAGAATATCTGATTTTGACAGGCAGCCCAGGTAGGCATCCAGGCTGCTGGATGTGCAGGTTAAGAGAACATTTGGCTGTCAGCTTTCTTCACCAACAGTAACACATTTGCTGCTTTGCATTTATGCTGTACAATCATGTCTGTGTCCCTGGCCCTGATGTTTTTACTGTAGCCATAATTACATGATCCAAGCAGTGCTCTGTGGAATTAATGAATTAAATGGCCACCTACAGGGAAATGAAAGTCCAGAGAATGAGGTGTATACCTTTTAGGACAGTACTACTTCCAGCCTCAAAACAGAGCCTTGGAATGGGTGTGAGGGGTTCATCATTGCCTCCCACAAGAGGATGACATTTCATTTATAACTCTAGCTAGCTCTCCTGTAGCTCTGTGTTCATAAGAAATAATCACATATTTTTCAACCAGAAAAATAAGCAACCTAAACACTGAGGCTGCTGTGCATCAGCACATTTATTTGGGGAAGGCTTTTGCCCTGAGCTTTCTAGTCTGGGTGTCACTGCTGTACAGTCACTGCACCACTTCTGGCTGTTTACACCTTGGAGAGGTAATGTAATTCCTGTGTATAAACCTTCCCCTGCTGCTTAGTTGGAGAGTTTGGATATTTTACACTTTAAAAATACCAGCAAGGGCCAGATTATGTTTGTTGGATTTGTGTTGATAATTAATTTTCCTTGCATCCCATTGAAATGACAAAAACATTACTTTATATGTACTTACTGCAGAAAAAAAGAGAATTTTGGGTGGAAAAGCACAGACCCTATGATCTGATCCATCTTCTCTTTGCTATTTCCAACTACTTAAAGCATAATGTCACACTGAAATGCACACTTGGAATGCTGCATTCTCTTCTGACAGACTTTTATGATATTTTTCAAGGTGACCTTCATAAAATGTGTTTCTTTTGAAGCTTATACTTCATTCTCAGGTCATAATAGTTTCACACAGGCAAGCAAACTGCCAGCTCCTGCTTTCTAATTAATGCTTCTTGGAGGCTTCTGAGTGGGGGAGATTAATAGCACTTAAATCTGGAGTGCAGACAAATCTATAGCAGATTACTGGGATGTGTGTTTACTTCAGGATTACACACAAACAGCTGCTAGACCATGCCCTCTGGGAATTGCCCAGGCCCTGGCACCACCTGACTCTAACTCCAGTGTAAGAACTCAAAAGGTTGCCCTGCTTTATCAAGCGAGGCTCTGAAAATCCTGAGGCTCTCTGCTTGCTGCACCCCTTGTCCCTGCTCCCATTTCCCATGCCAGAGTGGGAAAAAGCTCCCTGGGCTTCTCAAAGCTGCCTGGTGACTCTGCTTTGCCAGCAGGCAGCACCAAGTACAGAAAATACCTGCACCATGCCTGTGGTGCCCAGCCAGGGGACAACCTGCTCTGTGGCCCACCGTGCAGGTACAGCATCTTCTGGGGCAGACTGTCCTCACTGCATCCCAGTGGACCACAGACATAGCCATTACTTTGTGGGTTTATGCACTTTAAAGTAGCAGAAATTATAGGAGAGTTTTTCTTACAGCAAAACAAGCAAAGATGGTTGTTGCAAGTCATTTTGTCATACTTGCCTAAATTTGAGGAAAGTGATGGGATTGGTGTTCACTCTCATGCTTGCAGCATGGATTGTCACACTCCAGAGGTGCTGGAGCAAAATCAGATGCAAGTCAAATTGTCAGTTTAAATTCCCTCCTGGCCTGCTGCTGTATCAGGGGTAATTTCCCTGCTGAAGTCAATAGAACAGCATTTTTTCACACACGCCGAGATCTTGGTGCAGAACAGGCAGCTGTGAGGCAGGATGAGTGCTCTCAAAGCATTCTTTGGGGGAAAAAAGAGTAAATTGGGGAAAAAAAAGAGTAAAATTTATACTCTCTGGAAAAGTTGGGAAGACTATATTATCCAGAAACATTGCCAGACTGGGGACAAGGGGGAGAACTGACATCAGAAATCCTTCAAGGCTGTGCAGGACACATTATTTGAAGGGATTTCTACAATAATTTGGCATGTGGCAGGACACAAAATATTCAGGTGGTTAAGCAATTAAAAACTATTGAATATTTGTAACTAAGCACTTGGCAACAGAATATCACTGTCAACTTCTTTATGCAAAGGGACATTTTGACATTGTACTGAAGACTGACTACTTTTCTAATGGCATAAAAGTATTACTTCAGTTATGCACAAAACAGGAAAACTACTGAAACTTGTGCAGCCTGGTTCTTTCTTCAGAAATAACAACACAGAGTGAAGCTGCCTTTGAAGAGAAACATTTTCCACACACTATCTGAAGGTTAAAGTCTTTTAATCTTTAGCCTTTTTGCTGGCATATGCAATTTAAAATGCTCAAAACAGACTATCAAAACACCCAGCTATACATAGCCAGAAAATTCAAAAGGCGAGTCTGAAAATAGGCTTGGAAATTAGGGTGCATCCAATCCTGCTCTTTGAGTTAGGGCCTTTTCCCTGTGGATCCATCTCAAAAAGCAGCCAAGTTATCAAACACAGCTGACCAGAGGACAGCCAACACAGAATAAGACATCTCTCAAAGAGGCTCTAAAGAGGTAAAATCTTGGTGCTACTAACAAGAGAGTGACTAACTGGGGAAATTCTATATTAAATATTCTCCCCCTAGAAAGTTTTTCTTTATTTTTCTTTCTCTCTTCCAGAGTCAAATGAAGTTCTCCTGAGCTTCAGCTCTGCAGACACAGTTCTGAGAGCAGAAAGAACAAGTCCTTCTAATGAGGAGGGATACAGTGGCATGGGGACACCCAGGGGAAGACCAGAAACACATGCAAAGCACAAATTCACTCACTGATGTTGCACACACAGATAAAATATTTAAAGATAAGCATTTTCTTAAGGGTGTAAACTTAGCAAGGCTAAATGTGTTCATTTCCTTAAGCAAGTGGATATTTTGGGTCATCTGGGGACTGATGTAGAAGCAGCAGCAAATGAAGTAGGGAGAGAACTAAGAGCTTCTTGCCTTACTCAAGTATTTTTTAGGAAAAAGTTACTTGCAAGTCCTTCTTGATCAGATAGTCTCTAAATACAGGTAAAAGATGATACTGGACCTTGTCCAGTAATACAGGAGTTGTGGCAGGTGGTGAAGGACTTGTGATAAATATAAGGGTAGCTGGAAAAGCCCTAAAACACAGCTCAGTCTGCCCAGGCTAAGCTAGCTAAGCTGGGCTTCTTTAAACAAAATAATGAAGTACAAAAACAATGCATGAGGCATTAAAAACCACTATTTATTTGCTGCAGAACACCCACATTCAGCTTTTTCCGACTTTCCCTATGCTGCATGAAAAAACCTCAAGTGTCATTCAGGTAAAGCCACAAATGGCAAAATAAATCCTTTGTAGGTGAAATACAAAAATAGCTTCAAAGAAGGATGGATATAGCCTGGTTAATTTGCTAAAAGTTTTCAATCTTCATCACTTTAGAAGCAAGGTTAAGAGAGAAGACAAAGGCTGAGAAATGCAGAAGGTGCAAAGATATACCTTTATCTCAGGTTCAGAGCCTTAAACCTCAGAAGCAAAATAATGCTGGGGAGAAGAGATTGACAGTGATGCCTAACATTGGGAATCAAGGGTTGGAAGGACTAGACACTCTCATGATAATGATGCCAGGAAGATTTAATTTACCAGTTTGTTCTAGGAAAGGTAATGACCTTAATATCCCGGGAAATGTATCAAGAGGTCATCCATGCAGACACATGCTGACTCATTTTCATAATAAATGGAAATAGATGTCCAGCCACATGAATTTGCTTGCAGGAAAGGATTTATACCATCTATCCAGCTTTGTGTTTAGTATCAGAAGAGATAAAGAATGTTTTATTGATATGTGGGGATTTAATTCCAACCTTTGAGAATCTTTAGGAAAAAATGCATTTCCAATTCATTTCTGAAGAAACAAAAAAAAAATCCCCCCAAAAGCTACCAAATCAATAAAGGGAAACAATATCACACTGGAATAGGGATGTGCCATTTTCCCCTAAGTATTATTCCTTGGTTGCTGGGCCATCGATGAAGCACCACATAATGTCTCTGTTAGAGAAGAGTCCTTACACATGCATTACCAAGGATATGTTCTTCCTGTCTGAGTAATTCACTTTTGAGTAGCATATTTCTGAGAAGGTGAAAAGTGGGTGTCTAAATGCAACTCCAGCAGCCACTGCAGAAATGTGACTGTGTAGCCCAAACCCTGCTGCTCCAAACCCTGGAGGTCCAGCTGCTGGGGAGAAATTTCCTTCACAGATGGGAATTGCATGTGTTACATGGCTTTTTCTGTGCATCCACAGAAGGGCTGGCACAGCTACTTTGGCTGGAGAAGACAAGAGCATGGTCACGATGCAAGAAAAAAAAATGGAAGGGGAAGTCTCCAAATGGAGTCATCCAAAATGCCATCCAAATGGCAGAATGGCGCAGGAGATGAGAGCTGCCACCCAAGTGTGCCACCCATACGAAGTGTGGTTTAGCTCAAGATTTCTCAAGCCAGGCTGCAAGCAGTGAGTCACAGAGAGAGGAGGGTTATTTCTGGGATTTTGGCTCTTCAGAGGAAAAACATGAAACAGTCAGAAATGACAGAGAAGTGAGAGTGCTGGGTGATGGCAAACAGCATATGGGGAGCAGGGGAGAGGGAGATTTGGCATCCTTGCTGCAGTATTACATCCCAGCCAAAATCACATTGATCTCCGGGGGCCAGTTCATTTCTGCTGGAAGAATCTGGCTCCTGGGACTCCAGGTACTAAATGAAAAACTCAGTTTCTAGAGCACTAATGTTAGCGTTTGCCAAGTGTTTTCTCTTTTCTATTCCTCCCTGCAAATCCTTCTTTTTCTCTTAAGGTCAGTGGAAAATTTAGCAGAACAGGCAGTTTTCCAGCAGGCTTAGTTTTGGAAGTTGAACTGATCAAATCATTTAATACTTGACAGATGAGGTTAGTATTTGCTAATGCACTCTATGGTCTGAATTCTGATGCAATTTTGTATGTGTATGTGGTTGTACACAGACACACCAGTTTTAGTTCTGTGTAGAGGTACCAGGGCTGTTCTCTGTCCTAAAAACAGAGGGAGGATATGTTAGGTTAAAGACTCCTCTTAAGTAAATGCTTACGATTCTCATTTCTAGATACACCATTATTTTTGCTTTCTGGAAACAAAATGCTCTAGGGTGGTGCTGATTTGTTCAAGAAGGAGCATGTCATTTCAGCCACTGTTGGAGTGCCGTGACCTTTTAGAAACAACACAAAATTAAGAGCTTTGTTTTCTTTTGTTTCATTCTAGATATTTGCTCTGTTGTCCTCAAGAAGCTTCTGGAGGCTTGAGCAAAGGTTTGGGTGCTGCAGGAGTAAGTCAATGGTCAGATCATTACCTCTAATTTTCCTGGAAATACTTCTTCAGAATTTCTGCTTCAGCTGCCATTTCTTCCTCTGTCCTCCACTTGTCAGGGGAATCATCTTTGTCATGTCGCTGAAGCTTTTTGAGGGAGAAAAGGAAAAAAAGTCAGTTTATTATTTTTTCAGTTTTAATGTCAAATTTAGGGCAACCAATTTAACTATTCCATGTGTCTTCAGGACGGATGGACCTGGTGATGAAGAGAGAAAGGGTGAAGGTTGCTGGTTTAGAGTGGTGACAGTGGCTGCATTTACAAGGACAGCACCAGGTGTCAGGGTGAGGGACAGGCAGGGACAGGCTCAGCTTTGTGAGTTGATGGTCAGACACATCATTGTGAGTGAGTCATTGATACAAAGCTGGCAGGTAAAGCAACAGGAAAACACTCAGGTCCTTTGAAGCACTCACCCCACCAGTGGAGTGAGCTGGACGCCTTGTCACTATTTCCTGTGAATTTTTCTCACTGTCTTTTCCTCTGCTCATGAGACAACATTTCCTATCAAAGACCTATTGTGATAACAAGGCCCTGTTGCAACTGTTTCCCATCAGTTATTAATATTTTTTTTAATATTTTTTTCATTATTAATATTTTTTTCATTCCTTCTCTGCATGTAAGTTATTAATCCTTCCCTGCCATTGTTGAAAGCAAGACACATCCCTGGTTAGAAACAAAACCTGTCATTTTAAGCATAATTATATTTCATTGGTTTCTTGGGGAAAAAAAAGTATAAGAAACATATAATTTGTGTTTCCAACTGGCACACTGTGCCCGCAAAAATTTGCTCTATCCCATAGGCAGTAACTGTTACATGATATTGTCCCAGACATGATAATTTCTTCCTTTGCCACTCAAGAAGAAGGGAGAAGCTGACAGCTTTGCTGCTTTCCTGAAGAGGGGAGCTCCATATTAGGGTAAATACTGGCACTTGAGTGACTATTTGTGCACATGTCCCTTCAAAGAACGCCTGACACTTGTCAAGTGAAGGCAGCATTTACACCAGACAGCAGAAACATTTACTTAACGGATCAAGTATTGAGATTCCAGTGGTTCTCTAGGTTTAGAGCACAGCACAGACTGCATTAACAGCACCAGTGCTTCTAAGGAATTTCATAATATCAGCTTCCTGCTAATGTCACAAAAAACCTGAAAACTAATGAATTTACACCTCTTATTCCAGGAAAAATTATAGTATAGAAGATGAAGTGGTGAAAAAACAAAGATGAAGCCATCATGAACCCCCAAGCAAAGTACATTACTGTATATGGAATGTTTAGCAACAAACTAGGATTGTTAGCATACCTCCAACTCACAAATACTTTTATTTATGCTATGTTTCTCCTACTCTGAATTTTGCTGCCAGCTAGAGTCCCATGTAGTTTTACACTGTGCAGCACAGAATTCCCCCTGCTCAGCAGATGAAGCTGCATTAGAAAGCCATTTCCTTTCATGCCAATACAATGCAGTAGCTGTAGGCAAATTAAAGTATATTACTGTTCGACTCAGAGAAGACTAATCTTCATTGTTCCATTAGTACTAAGTATGTTATAAATCCATCTTGTAATAATGCCACAGAATAAGAGAGAAAGATTTAAAAGGCAGGGACTGGTACAGTGTACACACTATCAGCACATGCCCTGAGTCCACAAGTCTGCTGTCACCCTCTGCACACACCCACAGGGTGTGTAGCTACCACAGCTGACCTGGCAATGAGTTATTGGAATGAGTATCCATCATCCTGTACTTTCTGTGGACAAGAGAATGCACCAGGACAAGGCAAATGGTGGTAAATCTGACTGAGGTGTGAGCTGTTTTCTGAAAAAAGCAGTGTTTTGCTCATTCAACCTGGTAGGAGGTACAGCAGGCAAAAGCTGGAAGGCAAGGGAGAGCTGCCCCTGTTCCTCAAGGTCTTTTTGTTTAACCCAGAAGAATTGCTTTTAGTGACATGATTTGGCTGCTGCTCTCCCTTCCTATCTTGCTCCTGCACAATCCAGGTGAGAGCTGGCTCCATGTGGAGACTGGTAAAGTGGAGGTGTAACTGGTAGGTGGTGATATTTTTTTCCTGTTCAAGAAAACTGAAGTGAGTAGTAATGAGGAGGGTTAAACTGCAATGGTTGTTGTTGTTTAAATTAAAACTGTGCAGTTACAGACCACAGTGGCTTCTCAAAGCTGGCAAAGGTGAGGTCTTCTTCTGCTACATAACAGCTAACCTTTAAAAATAATCAATCTTTGAGGTTAAAACAGATGTATGGAGAGCAGCAATGAATCCTGAAACTTTCCTGGAAGCCCAGCAGCTCTGGCTGCCAGTGCACAGCCCCCAGGACACAGAGCAGCCCAGCCTGGATGGGAGCTCAGCGCAGGCATCTCGAGCCTCTCTCACTGAAAAGGTGCCTCCACATTTTGTGGGCACACTGAGAATGTCAAACAACAGCCTGAGCTGTTAAATCACTGCCACAGCCAAGGTATTCATTGTTAACTGACTTATAGATGAATATTATTTCAGTATAAAATTACTATCCCCAAACAGCATCCTAGGACTACTCTGTGCTCAGAGCTCTTGCTGTGCCAGTAATTTCTGAGGTGCAATCCACAATTATCACCCCAGAGCCACTTAGCTTGTGATATTATCAATCTAACACTGGAGGTATTGGGAAAATCACCTCTGGTGGCTTTCTACCCTTCTCTGACACCATCATCCTGCAGCTCCAGTACAACCCAAAGCACAGAGAGAGACACTTTGATGCAAAATTGGCAGGTTCAAGGTCAACAGTACCAACAGGCAGATGACAAAATAAAGGTTGCTGATCAAGCTCTAGCTCAGGGATTGCACATACTACAAATCCATGGAAGCTGAAAAGCACAGTGCAGGTCCTCCTGTGCACCTTGCTGGTTCTTCAAATCTCCAGGATCTGCTGGGGATCCCTAATGGTGACAAGGGAATGTGGTCATGGATGGGTTTGGTGTCACCTGGTTATTTAATGTGTTCTTATGTAAGGTACATTTCAGCCTGGTGCAGTTCTCCTCATGAGGGCCTCTGTAAGCTGAAGGTACTTTCTACTTTTTTTTTACTTTATGTAAAATTTTACTTTATGTAAATTGTACTTTATGTAAAATGTTTTTGTTTTTTTTTTAATTAAGAGAGATTAAGACAGTCTCTGTACTATTTTAGCTAAGTTGTAAAGCTGCTTTCAAGAGAGGAGAACATAGATATTTCAGTTACAAATTGTACTGATTTAGAATTCAGGTGGGGAACAAACATAACAGTTGTTACTTGTTTCTTAGGGACTTCTGTGCCTTAGAGTGTGCTCATTTTCACACACACATCCAAGTCCCAGCTGTGAATCTTTGCAAACATCTGACTTCTATTGAAAGTTTGAATTAATCTGAGGAAGCAACACTCTCTTGCACTTCGAGAACACTCCAAGGTTCTGCTCAAGTTAAAGGGTAAAAAAGTTCCTCTATTTGCCAGATATAACACACACATCCAAGTCCCAGCTGTGAATCTTTGCAAACATCTGACTTCTATTGAACGTTTGAATTAATCTGAAGAAGCAAGTCAAAGGGTAAAAAAGTGCCTCTATTTGCCAGATATCCATCCATAAAAAATAGTGATTTATCCATCTTTCCTACCCCTGTCAGAGTAAAAGCTGGATAAGTTGAGCTGACATCCTTATTCAGATATATCCAAACACAGACTAGCTTGAAGTTTGTGACACTTTCTGTACAACAATTCTACTTCTGCAAACTTAGTGCACACCAAGGCAAGGTGAGCCTATAAAACCTTTTCTGTAGGGCTCCAAATTGGTTACCAGTTCAAAGCACATGGTACTTGGCCTGTTTTCATAAGAGAAAAGTGATGCAAAAGCATTGCACCAGATGGACAAAATGTTTTACTGCAAAACTCCAAAAGCCCCAAATTCTCTGAAACCAAACCCGTTTGTAGAGACTCTACAGGAGTGACTCTGAGGGTGAGCAACGCCCTCAGCAGAGCTCGGATAACACTAAAAGGAGGGAACAGGATGAGAGAGCATGAGCAGCTCTTTTAGACGATCTCTATTATGCTAAATTTTTCTTTTAATATTCTGAACAAGCACCGGGACACACATTAGTCAGTTCTCTAATCGCAGTTGCCCAGCAAATTGCACACTGTATCTGCTCAGCATTCTTCAAGCACCAAGACTCGTGTTTATAACTCCAAACATCTTCTTGCCTTGCAGTACAAATAAATGCACTATTTCTAAGACGTGCCCTTCTTCAAGCAGATCATTACTGATGTCTGACTTCTTGGGCTTCCTGATAAATTATCCTCTTCTTTCACCTCAAGCAGAAAATGCTCTTCCACTGATAATCTATGACTGTCAGTCTTGATTACATGTAAACAGTGGAGCTCTTTGAATATTTCTGCTTGTGAAAAGTGTTCATTTTCTCACTCATGTCTCCCAGTGTGAGATGCTGGCAGACCTGACAGCTGTGCTTTATGTTATTTTATTAAAGTTGCTAGTGCTGCAGAATGGGCTATGTTTTTATCACTGCAATTCTTAAGGGAAACACAATATTGTTTTATAGCACATTCACATTGGGGGACCTCTCCTTCTTGCCCTTTGTGGAGGAGCCCAGAATTCTTAGCACAGCAGACTATAGGGGACCTGGGTCTATGACTGGCTGTTGCTTGAAGTGATATGTACTTTTTTTTTTCTACTTATGCCATAACACCATCAGAAAAGCAACCTGTGTAAATACACAGCACTAGCCAAAATTATTGGGAAAAAGCTTTTATGGTAGTTAGAACTATTCTCACTCCCCATGAATATTTATAGTTGATAGTTAAGAGTTTATAACCTCCAATGCATTTAACTAAAAGAAAAATTATAGTGATGGAGAGTAATTACACAAAACTGCAGCAACATAACAAAACTCAGCTGCTTCAGCAATTATAAAATATAGTATTATCAAAACCAGCAGTTACCAAAAAATAAAAAGAATGAATTTTTGCCAATGGCTTGAATCAGAGATCAGGCATTACCCAGCTGCTGGTGTTCATTATTGCCAACACACCTTGGGATATCCAGGCACCTTTTCTATAGTT